TGCTGCTGCTGCTGCTGTTGCTGCTGCTGCTGTTGCAAGCAGCAGCAGCTGCAGAACGGGAGGCAGCAGCGGCAGAAGCGACAGCAGCAGCAGCAGAAGGGACAGCACCAGCAGCAGAGCCAGCAGGGGCACTAGCAGCAGCAGCAGGGAAAGCAGCAACGGCAGCAGTAGCACTAGCAGCAGCAGCAGCAGCAGCAGCTACTGCAGCTCACATCTGTTCGAGTTCTTTACTGTTCGTTGCGGCATCAGGGTTTAGCAGGACAGAAAAGCCAAAACGCCTAGTGCTTGTTCGCGGGCCTCTTCCTTTTGCTGCTACACTTCTGCTGCTGCTGCTGCTGCTGCTGCTGCTGCCTGCGGTGTACAGACAGCCCACAGGCTCGAAGCTGCTGCCAACTGCAGGTGCAGCAAATAAGCTCAGAGGGTACTGGCAGCAGATGAAGGCCGGGGGGCCCCTGGGGCCCCCCGTATATCTCCGCAGCTCCCTGGGGCCCCCCCAGGCATTAAAGGGGGCCAAGGGGGAGGCCCCTGCTAGGGGAGCTGCTGCTGCTGGTGTTGCTGCTGCTGCTGCTGTTATGAGCAGCAGCAGCAGCAGCAGCTGCTGGTGTTGCTGCTGCTGCCGCTGCGGCCTCTCTTGTGCAGGGGAGACGAAGAAGCCCCGGGGCTGCCGAAGGCTGCCAGCCTGCTGCATGTCTCAGTGCAACAAAATATTAAATTGAAACAAAAAAATAATTAAATGCGACTAAGTCCTCATCTTCGGTGGCGCCGACAGCAGCCCCGGGGCCTGAGAGGGCTGCTGGCGAAAGAAAACTCGGAAGGTGGAAAGTTAATTGTTGAAAATAAATATAATAAATAATAGTTTGACATATTTATGCAATTAAATCTAACAAAAATTTGATCCCAAGCCCCTATCATGCCTCCTGCTAACGCTAGAGGCTTCCGATGCGCCCGGGTCCTGGGGCTGCGGCAGGGCTGCTTGTCTGCAGATCTACCGACTCCACTCAAATTAAAAAAATAAAGAAACTGAAATAAAAAGAAAAAGACTTTTTTCTCGTTTTAAGAAGTGGCGGGCACTTCTGTTCTTCTTTGGCGGGTGGCGCCGCCCCAGGTGTACAGACACCTGACGCCCAAGGCTGACTTGAATGCTCGCCACTTTGTTTTCTACTTTTGTTTCGCTGAAACGGATCTCTAAAGCTACTAAAAATGCACGATTATGTGAATTAATTAAACGAGAATTGATTTAAATCAAATTCAAATAAATTTAAATAAGCTTTCCCTCGCGCTTCAGGACCTGAACCCTCCCCGCTTACCCTCAGCGGAAAGCGAGGCGAAAAGTACCTTTTCAATAAAAAAACAAAAAATAAGAATAACAAGAAAACAAATATGCGAAATAAACATGAATTTCCGCCGGTTTCCTCTTCCGATCGCCTCTTTCCTTGCCTCCGAGCCGCGACAAGGAGCCCCCGAGAACCTCCCAAACCCCAAACCCTAAACCCTAAACCCTAGCCCCTACTTCTTCGCAGCAGCTTTCTTCGGAGGCGG